CGGATCTAAAAACCATGTAATAAAAAAAGTCATTGTTGTTTTGCCTCTTACCGCAAAATCTGTAGCCCACAGTGATATAAGAAATCTCACATTGTTGGATAAAATCAAGCTTATTTAATCCTCCATGTGATGGTTTACGTGTTCAAAACTGATTATTGACGACTTGACTGAACACGTAATACAAAAAAATTCACAAATTCGCGTTTTTGTATAGTTTACACTGAGACGATAATGGTATTGTTTTCAAAAACTTGCTCTTTGAATGTCCTGTCTCACACACACACACACACACACACACACACACCAGCATTGACACATCTGACCACTGACAAGAGAGAATGACCTTTCGTGACCCTGCTCTTTTTTTCCCTCGTCCCTAACATCTGCCTTTCTTTCTTTAAGACTGAAAGACTCAGAAAACCATGAAGACTTTCTGCATTTCTATGCAAATGTTTCCGGTTTCTGCATTTGAAAGGTGCAGGGCAGCCAACAGATTCATGGCAACAGTCACGTATTCCTCTGCTTTTAAGAACGAAACCTATTCTTTTAAGAATGCTTGTATGGGTAGTTTGTACTGTGCACTAATTTCTTAGTGTATAGCCAATTAATTAGAAGGGGGGACTGCATGGTGGTTTTAATTTATATATTTATTTTGACATCATGCATTGTAAGCACTTAACTATAGCCTAGATCAGTGATTGCAACTAACTTTAATCGCTCCATAATGAAAAAATAATTCTCTCAGAATCTAATACACTCTCAGAATCTGTCTGTTGAGAATATTTACTCGCTTTTTACGGGTTCAATATTTTTTAAGGTGGGTGTGAGGACTGTATTTGGAGCGCGACCTGATTGGCTGGTTGAGCTGAGCTGTTTTGATCCATTTGCTGAGACACTTCAAAACAAAAGTCTCTCAGGGGGAGTAAATAAATATATTAGTTCGTTTTAAACACAATGAAAGGATTTGTAAATGATGGCCATGTAATATGCTGAACACATGCTTCTCAGCAACAGTAACAAGCCTATGAAGCGTTTGACAGTGAGTCTTATTCCAAAGAAAGAGCCAAGAAAGTGTGAAGATAGAGCGAAAAGGCCGCTGGTAGGAAAGAATGAGCGCAGATGAGAGCGAATGAAATACTGATGGGCACCCTTGCGTCATCTGGTGGTCCAAAACAAGCATTGCATACTGATGGACATCAGTTATGTTTGCTCGCTCTTGTAAAGGTATGTTGATATCAGAGCCTTTCTTTTACTGTCTATGATCAGAGCCCGTTGATATTTAACTAAGCACATAGGCTACTAAAGACCTGAACCGGAAGCGATTTCGGAGCTGTTTTACAGAATACAGAAGTTTATTTCGCATAACCTCCATTGTAGTGCTAAAACCTACTAAAATAATGATAATTTTAGCATTACATTAAATATAAAATTGTAATATTTAAATATATATAAATTGTAACGTTTACTAAAATATTACTTCTATTTATTTTATATTAGGCCCATATATTCTAAATGTAAATGTTTTATCATGTAAAAATGTGTGGATGCATAGTTCCAGAAACAAAAGCAAATCCAAACAAAGACCTTTTTTTCCACTTTTTAAATTGTTTTATTTTATGTTATTGGGACCATGACATATCACTTATTCTATAAGGACATAATGCATTGCATGTTCACAAACTTTTAAAATAGCAACGACTAAACTGAATATAGATGCTAAAAATAAATTATAACACTGGAAATGAAAACTCACCCACAAATGTAATCTTTAAAGAGCTGGAGGAAAGTGCATTTTGATTCTCATGACAGGTTTTTGAGATTTGACATTATATATTTACAAGCAAACAGAATCCAAAGACACAAAAATTGGGGTTGTACACTCACCTACAGGATTATTAAGAACACCTGTTCAATTTCTCATTAATGGAATTATCTAATCAACCAATCACATGGCAGTTGCTTCAATGCATTTAGGGGTGTGGTCCTGTTCAAGACAATCTCCTGAACTCCAAACTGAATGTCAGAATGCACCATGTCACAAAGCTTGAATCATTTCAAATTGGTTTCTTGAACATGACAATGAGTTCACTGTACTAAAATGGCCCCCACAGCCACCAGATCTCAACCCAATAGAGCATCTTTGGGATGTGGTGGAACGGGAGCTTCGTGTCCTGGATGTGCATCCCACAAATCTCCATCAACTGCAAGATGCTATCCTATCAATATGGGCCAACATTTCTAAAGAATGCTTTCAGCACCTTGTTGAATCAATGCCACGTAGAATTAAGGCAGTTCTGAATGTGAAAGGGGGGTCAACACAGTATTAGTATGGTGTTCCTAATAATCCTTCAGGTGAGTGTATATGGTTTGGGGTTTAAGGTTGACATATCCCCATAAATACCCAGAGAACAAACACCATTGAGGACCTGAGTTTTCATGTGATCTCAATTCTGCTCGGCAGAAGCACAGATATAAATGTCCTGAGGTCACAGATGGGATATCATAACCCATGATATTCAGTTAATACTAGCTTAATGAAGGGAAGGGAAAATCAGATCAACAGTGATATGCAGTACCTTGGGAACCGATCATGTATCTCTAATTAAACTCAGGAATGATATGGAGGAATTGGTCTTTGATTATAAGGAACATCGCTATAGTCAGATAAGAAAAAATAGCCAAACAACCAATTAAAACATCTAATTACATTATTAAGTCTGTGAAAATCCCAATAGTTAGCCACAATCTAGAGAGAACCAGTGATATGGGCAGTCTTTTGGTAAACTTTTAAGGAATAGAAAATGAAAACTACTTATCCTTAGGTCAATCCAAACCCGTAAGACTTTCTTATCTTCTCTGGAATTGATTTAGCATAATGTTGAGGATGCTTTTTCCATTCTAACAGTGTCTAGCACAACAAAAAGTAACATAAAAGTATATTGATTAAATTTAAGTTACACTCAAATATTAAGTTGGGTAAATTTATGTCAGAATACATTTTTTTTTGGTGAACTATTCCTTTAGCCGCACACATTTGCAATCACTGCAGATATATATTTTTCTCAAACGACAGATTTATGTAAACCCTAGACATAATTTTGTCAAACGTGTATGCTCAAACATGCGTCCACTCAACCATTTTCCTGTAATTAAACCTAAAACAAAAGTGGTGTGAACTGAACTCAAAAATCAGCTCTGGAAAATAGACGCTGCCGCCTGAGGAATAATGACCAGCCAATCAGAACACGTGCCTCTGCATGAATACAGCCTCTGCTGACTCACTTCCTGTCTGTGGCTGCAGTTCTGGAGGAGAAAACTTTACAGTTCTTCAGTGCCTGTAATCAGTGCAGTGGATGAAAGCATTTACGGACAAAACAAATACAACAGACGGAGTAGAAAAGATAGATTTATAGAAAAATAACTAAAAGCATTCAGTAAGGCTGTTCGTTTAACTGTCGCACGACTGATATGATGTTTAGTAATCATGAAGTCTTATTTACACTCTTGAGTCTTCTTGATCCATAAAATTTTGCAGCACAAGTATACAAGGCTGTGAAATTTCTCTACTTGATCAGGCATGATATGATTTGGCGCTAGCACCATAATCCGACAGGCACGTACGTTTCATTTGTCCGCCTGCCATATAGCCTTTCTAAAGATACTGCATTGCAATACTCCGCCTGACCTGTAGAGGTCAGCCCAAAGTTGTGACTTCTTTGAATTCGCTGCTCTGCAGTACAAAGAATGAGTTGCTAAGACCATAGATATCCATATAAAGGCTAGATATTGTCCGCGCTGCTGGCCAATGGAGGTCGATGTCAGCACCTGGCGGCCATCTTGTCACAGGCAGACCCTGCACTGCTTATGGTGATATTTTTATCATGCATGCACTGAAAACAGAAAACTAAAGCATAATTTCAGCTTAAGAATATTATGCTGTCAGGTTTCATAGGGTTTATTTTAAATGTACCATATTACCTATGTTATTTGAGCTCCAAAGTTGTAGAACTCACTGTTTCCCAACCCAGTTTCTAGAGGCACACCAGCAGAGGATATTTTCAAACTCTTGCTACTCAAACACACCTGATTCAACTGATTAGAAACTTCACAGCCTGAAAGAAAAGACATCCAAAATGCGTACTGTTGGTGTGCACCCAAGAACAGGGTTAGGAAAAACTGGTCTAAAATGCCTTTTGGCGTGGAACTACTTTTCTAGCAGATGAATTTGCTATGTAACTCAGAGTTTCCAGGCATTACACAACTTTTCACAGACAAGGCTAGTAAGTAGTTTTTACATAGCAGTGTCGTGTTAATGTTGTTTCTACACTTAAGTGCGTATTTTAACCTTTATCCCGGTGCAAAAACTTGCCCCATAGACTTCCATTATAAGTGTGTGACTTTTTGTTATGGTAATCAACGTCATGTAGGCTAACAGATGCTGTTAACTTGTATTGAACTCAGAATATTCCTTGAAACAAGTGATCACAAAGGTGCCAAATTGTCAGAACAATTTTAAATCGCACAATGTGTCCCAAAAGAAAACAGGCTGCTTGAAAAAAAAGCGCACATATAATGATCATCGTTTAAAAGCAACAAATACAAAACATAAACGTAAGTAACACTGAAAAATAAGATCTTAAAGCTACACTGTGTAACTCTTTTAGTTTATTCTTAGCTAAAACACTTAGTTCTTTCAAAAATATATGTGCTCATTAATGTATATTTACTTCGTTCAAGTAATAAAGTATTCTCGTGAGTGTATAATATGCCATTGAAAATACATACGGGTAAGGGGTTCTAATGTCGGTCGCCATGTTGCCCCTCCATCTTGAAAGTACTTTAGCCAAAGAGGGACATACCCGTTAATTCAAGCTTCGCCTTTCGCATTTACGTTTGAGTTAACACTCATGGACGAGGTCGAACTGGAAGCCATGTTAATCTTGGACTAGGACACTGTAGGAGTTAAAACGAAATTGAGAGGAACAGAAATTAATATTCAGTGGATGGTCATATACCTTTTCACCGCTAGATGGGGGTAAAAATCACACAGTGTAGCTTTAACTCACTTACTCCCTAAACATACATAGAATGGCTTGTTCAAACATACGTTATGTTCTTGTCCAAAAGTACCTTAAAAATTGGTTAATTCATCCTTAGCTGAAAAATGACCATGTGACTATTAGATCATCAGCACACACTCACACACACACACATATCTTGTGCCATCTAAGAAACCCTAAACTCAGATATGTGCTGAATACTTCCTAAGCATCAATAATTGCAAGAGAACTGTATAACACTGACTGGAATGATTCAAGGCCTTGAAAACACAAGTGTCCGGTCGCCTCCCCATCTCAAACCCAGTACTGATTCTTTTTCAGTGCTGGGTTTGTTGTCCGACAGTGCTGGATTAGCTCAGGATCCGCCCCTTTGGAGTCCATGCTTGACATGGGAATGTTGTTTGCAGGATCGGTTTTCCTAAAAGTCTCCTGACTCACATCTCCATTCTTAGGCTTTGCTGGCACTGTTTGGACATTGTGCTTCCCCGTTTTGTTGCGTCGGACCAAGTAGTATGCCAGTAGTGCGGCCAGGAGTATGAGAAGGAGGATGACAAGGATGGGGATAAGGATAGCCCACAGTGTGTTTCGCCTAGACACCACAGGAGTGGCTGCAGTGCTGCCAGAAGCCACGTCACCATCTCCTCTCCACCTGGGCTCGGATTGACCCTTGTCGGAAATGGACACCTGTGGAACTTTGAGCAATGTGGCGCCATAAACTTTTGAAGGGTCATAAGGAACAACCTGGAAGGGCAAAACGCACTCTGCAGGAGGAACGCCATGCGCCTTTAGGAGGAAGCGTGCTTCATCTTGACTTTGACCCCCAGTTGCGTTTGAGATCTCCAGAGCTACCCGTCCTTCATCCAGGTCTCGTTGGGTGAAGGACCTCACAGGTTGGCCATCATCTGACCCGCCCCTCTTGATGAACCGAGCTCCTTGAGGTTGTTGGATTATGCTGAAGGTTGGAGATGTTCTGGTCTTGTTGGCAAGAGGTGTAGCATCCAACAGCTTTCTGTCTACCAGTACAGTAGCACCTCTGGGGAGCAGGGGACTCTGGGCCACCTTCGCCAGTGGTTTCACGGTAATGTTGAGGACTGAGGACACGTTCGCTGCCCTGCTTCGGGCCACAAAGGCCACGCTGTCTCTCGGTGAGGTGGACTTCACGAAACGGACGCTCACTCTTCCCTGTTTAATCTGATTCTGTGTGAAAGCAGAGGTGGGCTGTCTGTCCACCATTACAGCTGCATACTTGGGGACGTTAGTAATCTTGTAGATTACATCCTCCTCAACGGGACCCCCAGTGGAGGTGCTCAGCATGTCCTCAGTGATTAGTGTCTCATCGTCTCCCTGTATTATTTGGATTTCCGGAGCTTTGTTCAGTATCAGAGACTTGGCCAGGATTCCTATATGCAGTGTGTGCGGGTCCGTTTGGTGTTTCCCGTCAGATACTGTAAATTCCATGAAGCCATCGGACAGACTTCCATCGCTGACGAAAGCAACCCGCCCATTGTTGATGTCTTCCTGGCTGAACTGGTTGATCCGGTCTCCGGAGTCAGTGTAGATGAGATACCCGTTAGCTGGACTCTTGGAGATGGTGAATCGGACCTCGTCCGGTGTGCTGTCCTGGTCCACCGTTCTGAGGTAGTTTTTGGAGATGATGGTCATGGAGCCCTGTAGTGCTTCTAGAAGAAGGTCCAAGCTTGCGAGTTCTGGTGGGTTTGAGTCTCGCCGTCTGATGGAGATCAGGAAGATCTCCTCCAGAACTATGGCACCGGGCTGAACTCTTGGGGCGAGGCCACTGGGGTTCAGATGGACGCGGAAAGAGAAGCTGTCAGAAGATGCTCCAGAGTCATCATGATAGTACTCCAGATCACCACGAGCCACATCGGCCTGCAAGAAATGGGGAGCTTCACGGGGCAGATCCGAATCCCCTACAGTGAGTCGTCCATGAACAGGGAACCGATGAACTTCGTAGACGATGTCCTGCCCCTTCCGCTTCTGCTCAGGCAAACTGGCAAGCAGGTTAGAGGCATCCAACACAGAGTTGTCGATCACTTTAGACTGACCTTGCACCACGGACACACCTGCAATACATTGACAAAACCACATTTAATTGCCAGAGCTGTGGCCTAGAGGTTAACATACAAAAGGGTTCCTCAAATACAGCCCTGCAAAGACGCTCAGACTCACCAAGCTGTAATTTTCTAGTTACTCTCTCAAGAACTTGCTTAAGTGTCTTAGGATTGGAGCTAAACTTTGCAGAGAAGTAGCCTTTCAAAATCAGATTTGAGGAACCCTGGCAAACAAGCTCCAACCACATTGACCCATGCAGTTTGAATGCAGCATGCAATGTGTCCTAATCCTGTTCCCGCCACATTTGCCAATCATTCTCAAGTCTTCTGATCAATGTTGTATCAAATGATAAAGGGCACCAGCATCAAACCTCAACTCATTTAATTGGCAGCTACCTTTGTTCTTCCAGAGCTGAGAAGAGACGTTTCGATTGGCTGCATAGTATGACACAGTGACTGGCAGGCTGTGATGCAGCACTGTTGCTGGAGGCGATGTGAGAGTCAGCTCGACAGAATCTTTCAGGACCCAGAAGGCCTCAGACGGCATCTGATGCTCATAATACACAGCACCTGCATCCAACTGAAGAAAATACAAATAATAATTGGCTACAACCTATAACACGGTCTGTAAAACAGCTGAAACTGACGGCCCCTAATTATAGCAATAAATGAATATAGTTTTAGTTCTAAACGTGAAATAGTTTCATAAGTTGACCTGATCGTGACCGCATAGTGCTTCCCTCTACTTTATGCTAATAAGATCTTCACTTACAATGGTGCCCTCTTTTGGTCAATGATGGAATTACAATGGAAGAGGCTTCATTGACAACATATTGAGGGATTTACATTTACATTTATTCATTTAGCTGACACTTTTTATCCAAAGTGACTTACAATTGCTATATATGTCAAAGGTCACATGCCTCTGGAGCAACTAGTGGTTAAGTGTCTTGCTCAGGGACAAACCCGGGTATCTCAAACCAAAGGCATGCGTCTTATCCACTGCGACATCACCACCCCACAGTGATAATGCCTAGTTTTTCAAAAACTAAAGAACTAGTTTTTCTGACAATATTATCCTAAACCATTCTACAATGTTAGCTGTAAGTGTCACTGCAAGTACATGCTCACAAATATACATTGTTTACCTCAGTCTGTGTGAATCTGTTGATCTCTTCAAACTGTCCGAGCTGGTTAGGTTTGATTATTCGTCCCAAGCGAGGAGGTTTCTCCAGTGAGTATGTGATTTCATCACCATCTTCACTTGTTATAGCCCTCAGAATATTTCCACCAATCACCTGCCTGGTGCCTGACAAACATCATCAAACAAATCATATCACTTCACTGATTGCTTCAAGAAAACCTATTTTATGAACTATAATTGACCTATAAAGATTTTTCTTTTGGCCCAGAGATAGACAGGTGTTTAGATTTAAGCTTGGGACGTGTGGTGCCCACCTGGGAAGACCATGAGTTCTCCCTCTGCTTCCATTGAGATGGTGAGCTGTCTTGCCTTGACAGTGAACTGGTAGAGTGGTGAAGTGTGTTCTCCATCAGTCACGGTGAAGCTGAACCCACCTGATTCTGAGCCTGAGATCAGACACAAGCAATCATATTCACTACATCATGTTACAGTAACAATAAAGGTTCTTTAATGGTTCCTTGCAGCACATCTGATTTATTTATCAAACTAACCTTTTTATTATCAAGAACCGTTTTTGGAGGAATAAAGTTCTTTGTGTGACTGTAAAAGATCTCAAATGTATGCCTTCATTGTATTGTAGGTGCTAAGGTGTTTTTGAGAGGGTTTTAACATGTCCCAATGCAGTTGAGAGGTTTATCATGACTTGCTGTATGCTATATGATTGCTATGTTGTTCCGAGTTGAATTGATTTTAGCGTGCTGTTATCTAGGTGCTAAGGTGTTTGGTGTGGGTTTTACATTTCGCTAAGGTGTTCCAAATTGAGTTCAGCAGTCAGGTTCCGGAAGTAAAAACTCTATTCATTTTCTACATAGGGAAATTGATTTTTAAATGATACCTTAGAAACTTTGGTAACGCTTCCTTTTACAGTCCAGTTAACCATGTAAATACTATGTACTTATTTTAGTAACTACTGGGTAATAACTAGTACTAACCCTGAACCTACACCAAAACCTACCCCTGTTCCATGTACTAACCTTATATTAGCAGTACTTTCTAGGTAAATACACTGTAAGTACTGTACTGTAAAAGGAAGCGTTACCGAAACTTTTTTAGACAGCCCTACTGTGAGCTACGAAGTTGTTAATCGATGGTATTTGCTTCTGTTGAAGCCGCGAGGCCGCATTGTTCCAACTTGTGTGCAGAAAATTCCACCAATCACAGGCCCCATTTACACAAAGGGAAAACGCAGATATTTCCCTGCGGTTTGGCCTCTCGTTTACACGAAAACCCAGTTTTTATCACATAAAACGATTATTTCTAAAAATTCCGGCCAAAGTGTAGATTTCTGAAAACGCCGGTTATGTGTTGTCGTGTGAACTGGGAGAAACGGTGTTTTAGGTTCTCTCTTGTCGATTCTGATTGGCTTGCATGGCTTTATCCTTCTCCCTACACTGGTAGGTTTGGCATAGTTATGATGGCGCTCGACGGCGTATATATGCGGGTGTGTGCACGTTGTTATTTTTGAAAATGGAGAGGGGGAAAATATTTGTTTCGTTAAATACCCGGCTTTGTGTAAACATGGCCACAGAGTCGCTACAAGCAGATCTCATTAGCTCCACCCACTCTCAAAATACTGAAATATCTGCATGCATGTACATACAGTATTTTGTAATACATTTAAAATATATTGTTTCTATAGATATAATCAACTTTTTTAAATGAGTTTTTTTATTCTTTCATTGTTTTTACCTTGATTATTCTTTACATTTATTCATTTTAGCTGACGCTTTTATCCAAGGCGACTATTGCTATTGCTATATTTATGTCTGGAGCAACTAGGGGTTAAGTGTCTTGCTCAGGGACACATTGGTGTCTCACAGTGGATTCGAACACTGGGTCTCTCACACCAAAAGCATGTGTCTTATCCACTGCACCATCATTCTGTTCACAATGTTCTATCTCTCACTAAAGCCTAAGTAAGTACATTAAGTTCTCAGTCTTTTACTTTGTATTTTTGTCCAGTTTTCAAATACGTTTTTGCTTCAAACCAAAGACAGTAATTTTATGATTTACCTTGTAGTTGGTTGGCTTGGTTCATGACTTATAACACTTTAACAAAGACTTCCTAAAAAATACTTGTGGGAGAAATTAATGAAAAAAATACTTCCGCTAAAAAAGTGGGCGGGTGCTGTTGCCCTTTATAGTTTTTTTGCATGCTTCTACACTATATGCTTGCTAAGGTTGTTCTGATGAATTCTGAGTTGTTTTGGATTTTATTTGTGCAGTTTCTAAGGTGCTCAGGCGAGTTTTTAACATGCTATGGTGGTTGGGCCTTGAAAATTGGGCCTTAAGGTGCTCTACATGATTGCTAACATGTCCATAAGTCTCTTTTCTGGTCCATCTTCAGATGGCCTATGCTTTCTCTGTAGTAGCTGATATTTTATTCTGTTTTTAAGAGTTTTAAAGGACTCAATTCAAAGAAATTGATGTCAACCCACCCGAATGAGTGAATAAAACCTCTCCATTATTAATCTGAGCCTGGGTGAAACTGTCCACACTGTCATCTGGAGACACTTTAAAGGCAACAATCCCATTGCTTGGCTTCTCGATGGAATACACTAACTCCTCTGGAGGGGTGTCCAGATCATCGCTGCTCAGAATATTGGCTGTGATTTCAGACTCCTCACCGACTAGGAGCTGAAACGAGAGAGCACACACACGGACAAAGAGAGATAAACAAACCAATAAATGAGATGGAACAACTAAACTGTTGTTTTCAGAGGTGTCTAACTGTCTGGAGTTGTTGGGTTGTGAAAGAGGCAGTTATGTCTCCTCTGATAGTGCTCTAATGGATGTGTAATGGACAAGTTGTGGAAAGACGTTCTTAAACGATCAAATTCAGCTGGGAGAGTGCAGGGCTGCCACACATTTATCTGTTCCTGAACGCTTTCACTGCCTCCATCTACCGCTCTCATGGGAGACCGAGTGTAGAGAGGAAGAAAAAATGGAATTGAGTACATGGCGTTGAGGTGCCATGGAACAGAAAGGTCCACAAGCTCATTATCATTTAGTAAACTAGTTTTAACCTAATGTGACCTTCAAGATTTAAGTGCATGTAAAATCATCTCCTTTCCTCTTACGAGTGCTATTTAATGGAGGATAATGCAGTGTCATTACCAGGGTAAAAATTACTCATACCAGTTAACTCTCTGTACTGCCCCCTGGTGACCATTTAAAGTCCTGTACATCATTTTCTGTGTAGTATGTGCATGGGCTTCCACTAGATGGTAGCACTAGACCAGAGTTCAGTGCAACTGAAATTTATGAAGCAAAAATCTCCCAAATTGGGCTGGAAATTGCTGTTTTTTCATACTCAATATTTAATTGATGTAACATGGATCAGAGGCTGCAAGGCAAATCAAATCCCAGCATGCTCTGCTGAGGCCTGCTTTGATGGGAAACCGCAATCTCTCTCTGATTGGACTGGTGTGTCTGATATATTACTGTGAGTGTGTGTGTTTGTGTGGATGAATCTCACAAAAGTTTAATATTTCATACCAAAAACGAAAAAGAATTTTAGAAACGAAGCTATTTTAGGACAATTATGATTTTTGCCACTTTAATATTGACACAAAATAGTATTTTCATATTTATATAAGTGCTCTCAAATCGATTAATCTAGATTAATCGCATTTAACATAAAAAGTTTGTAAATATATGTGTCTATGTGTGTGTATATATGTATGTTTGTGTGTTTATATACACATTTATATAGGCCTACACAAACACACACACACACACACACACACATACAGTGTATATATATATACAGTATATATATGTGTGTGTGTGTATGTGTATGTGTGTGTGTGTGTGACCTCACTGAAAAATTATTGGATCTTGAGTGTGTACCAGAGACACTGAGCTAGTAAATTGTGTTTACAATTTTTGAAAGAGCAGGTCTGAATTTAGATCTTCTCTGTTATTATCATTAGTTGGCTAACCATTGAAAATTGAGGTGTTCTCGATGAAAGCATGTCTGATATAGAGACAGACAGAGAGAACACCCATGCGAGAGAAAGTGAACTACCCGCGTGTGGAAAAACACATATCATTATTTTACATTTTGCGGGAGTGAAGCGGCATCTCTGATTGGTCGTTTTCCCTTCAGCCCAGAATCTGAAATCTTGCCGCCGTCATGGTTTTCCAAAAATATGAGTTTCCAGGGCGACCATAAACCACAGACAGCATCGAGCAAGCACTGAATGACACTCTGTGTTCCAGGCGGGAGTTGCTCTGAATTTTCCGACTACGTCTCTCTTCATAAATGTTTAAAACTGGGAAAATGGACTGACGGGCAGCTTGTGTACCTCCAGTCCAGTGTTGCGTTGGATGCGAGGCGGTTCGTCGTTCACAGGGAGGACGGTGATGCCGACCGTCAGGGACGCACTCTGGCGGTTGATGACAAAAGCGGACGCAATGAGAGTGAAACTGTCTTCTGTGGTCTCACTGCTGTCGTGGTAGTAGTACACCTGTCCCTGTTGTACCTGAGGATACACACGACACAACAGATATCAGAAATTCAATCACACACACCCAATCATTTTATTGACCATTAAATCGTTTCAGGTTTTACTATAGAGCCGAGAACCTTCTTTATGTGTACAGATGTGACGTAACGACTCAATATAGTCTTCTAGCCGAGACTCTTCTTTATGAGTACAGATGTGACGTGACGACTTAATATAGTCTTCTAGCCGAGACTCTTCTTTATGTGTACAGATGTGACGTAACGACTCAATATAGTCTTCTAGCCGAGACTCTTCTTTATGAGTAGAGATGTGATGTAACGACTCAATATAGTCTTCTAGCCGAGACTCTTCTTTATGAGTACAGATGTGACGTGACGACTTAATATAGTCTTCTAGCCGAGACTCTTCTTTATGTGTACAGATGTGACGTAACGACTCAATATAGTCTTCTAGCCGAGACTCTTCTTTATGTGTACAGATGTGACGTAACGACTCAATATAGTCTACTAGCCGAGACTCTTCTTTATGTTTACAGATGTGACGTGACGACTCAATATAGTCTTCTAGCCGAGACTCTTCTTTATGTTTACAGATGTGACGTGACGACTCAATATAGTCCACTAGCCGAGACTCTTCTTTATGTTTACAGATGTGACGTGACGACTCAATATAGTCTACTAGCCGAGACTCTTCTTTATGTTTACAGATGTGACGTGACGACTCAATATAGTCTAATAGCCGAGACTCTTCTTTATGTTTACAGATGTGACGTGACGACTCAATATAGTCTTCTAGCCGAGACTCTTCTTCATGTGTACAGATGTGACGTAACGACTCAGTATAGTCTTCTAGCCAAGACTCTTCTTCATGTGTACAGATGTGACGTAACGACTCAATATAGTCTACTAGCCGAGACTCTTCTTTATGTGTACAGATGTGACGTAACGACTCAATATAGTCTTCTAGCCGAGACTCTTCTTCATGTGTACAGATGTGACGTAACGACTCAATATAGTCTTCTAGCCGAGACTCTTCTTCATGTGTACAGATGTGACGTGACGACTCAATATAGTCCACTAGCCGAGACTCTTCTTTATGTTTACAGATGTGACGTGACGACTCAATATAGTCTTCTAGCCGAGACTCTTCTTCATGTGTACAGATGTGACGTAACGACTCAGTATAGTCTTCTAGCCAAGACTCTTCTTCATGTGTACAGATGTGACGTAACGACTCAATATAGTCTACTAGCCGAGACTCTTCTTTATGTGTACAGATGTGACGTAACGACTCAATATAGTCTACTAGCCGAGACTCTTCTTCATGTGTACAGATGTGACGTAACGACTCAATATAGTCTTCTAGCCGAGACTCTTCTTCATGTGTACAGATGTGACGTAACGACTCAATATAGTCTTCTAGCCGAGACTCTTCTTCATGTGACGTAACGACTCAGTATAGTCTTCTAGCCAAGACTCTTCTTCATGTGTACAGATGTGACGTAACGACTCAATATAGTCTACTAGCCGAGACTCTTCTTTATGTGTACAGATGTGACGTAACGACTCAATATAGTCTACTAGCCGAGACTCTTCTTCATGTGTACAGATGTGACGTAACGACTCAATATAGTCTTCTAGCCGAGACTCTTCTTCATGTGTACAGATGTGACGTAACGACTCAATATAGTCTTCTAGCCGAGACTCTTCTTCATGTGTACAGATGTGACGTAACGACTCAATATAGTCTTCTAGCCGAGACTCTTCTTCATGTGTACAGATGTGACGTAACGACTCAATATAGTCTTCTAGCCGAGACTCTTCTTCATGTGTACAGATGTGACGTAACGACTCAATATAGTCTTCTAGCCGAGACTCTTCTTCATGTGTACAGATGTGACGTAACGACTCAATATAGTCTTCTAGCCGAGACTCTTCTTCATGTGTACAGATGTGACGTAACGACTCAATATAGTCTACTAGCCAAGACTCTTCTTTATGTGTACAGATGTGACGTAACGACTCAATATAGTCTACTAGCCGAGACTCTTCTTTATGTGTACAGATGTGACGTAACGACTCAATATAGTCTTCTAGCCGAGACTCTTCTTCATGTGTACAGATGTGACGTAACGACTCAATATAGTCTTCTAGCCGAGACTCTTCTTCATGTGTACAGATGTGATGTAACGACTCAATATAGTCTACTAGCCGAGACTCTTCTTTATGAGTAGAGATGTGATGTAACGACTCAATATAGTCTTCTAGCCGAGACTCTTCTTTATGTGTACAGATGTGACGTAACGACTCAATATAGTCTTCTAGCCGAGACTCTTCTTTATGTGTACAGATGTGACGTAACGACTCAATATAGTCTTCTAGCCGAGACTCTTCTTTATGTGTACAGATGTGACGTAATGACTCAATATAGTCTACTAGCCGAGACTCTTCTTTATGAGTAGAGATGTGATGTAACGACTCAATATAGTCTACTAGCCGAGACTCTTCTTCATGTGTACAGATGTGACGTAACGACTCAATATAGTCTACTAGCCTCTTCTTTATGTGTACAGATGTGACGTAACGACTCAATATAGTCTACTAACCGAGACTCTTCTTCATGTGTACAGATGTGACGTAACGACTCAATATAGTCTACTAGCCGAGACTCTTCTTCTTCTTCTTCACCCCCCCAAAAAGCTACGGACTGCAGCTTTAAGTTAATATGTAGTTGCCAAGTTACTTGTAGTCAGTAGAATGTCTGTTATGTCAAAATATAAAGTGCTAGCAGATATTAAACAGAGTCTACTAATACTGTAATGAGAGTTATTTGACATGAAGTTGCAAAGTTATAGTTCATAGAATGTCTAAAGAGTTTTTCAAGCATCAACTGAGGCAGTCATTCACTTGCATTACATAGTCTCACAGAGGTGGATTATTTTCCTCAAAATCTTAATTTGCGTTTCTCTGAAGAGTGAATATCAAGTGGCTTGTATGAGGGTAATAATATATGAGAGTATAATTATTTTGGGTGGATTATCTTCTTAAATAAACAAAAATCTACCATGGTAACTGTAGTTCCTGTTTTTTTGTTGCCATTTTTATTTATAGTATAGAAATGATGGAGGATCAGAAAAAATGAATTCAAATCACATTAACCATGATTGAATGTCACATGTCAGACTCAAACGTATGTGCTCCAAACACAAATCCCCAACTCCAACTTTTTTATGTATAGAATTAACATGGTTGTGAATAATAAAGCTGTTCTTCCATGCAGACAGCAAACAAGCTGTTTCTCAGTTGGTTTCATCACATGATTAAATGTACATCAGTCACACTAAAACTGGATTTAACGTGGGTGGTCAGGCCCTTTTTAAACAAAGCGCAGATTTGGCCAAACAAATATAATGCAAAACTGCAGGAAGCCCCACAGCTGCGAGTGTCTGCCGTCTGCCGTATGTCGTATGTCATGTGCTGTACAGATTTTAACCCACTCCAGATGATCAGAACCTAAATGCACATACTGTACAAACTATACTACAATTACACTTCCAGGCCACGACTCACTTTTTCTTTAGAAAACATACAAATATAGTTGCACCACAACACAAAGTGTCCGAATAGCCACGAAAAGCTGTGCTTCACATCTTTCTGCCATAGTTTAGTCTGCATAGTCTCCTGTTTGTCAGGAAATCCATAACTCATGGCGACTGTTTACGGAAGTTGTCGTTTGTAATAGAGGTGAAATATTTATATGTAATGATCATTTTTACTTTTATTTAGAGGAGGCATTAAAACGAAAACAGAAGACTGGGAACCATTTAATCAGAAGCTTTATTCAAATTGCATTAACGGTCACCCCCTTTTTTTTAATAGAAATGGAAATGCACATTTTGAAATGGTTGTAATTCAAGAATGCTTTGGAATATACCGTAGACGTAAAATTGGTTTTCTTTTGAAGAAGACATTTGGCAGATTTTCGTCGAAGTGAAATAAATTAAGAAAGTGAAACAGACAAAAAGTTATAGGAGTTTGAGTTTATAGAAATGTACACTCTAAACAATGCTGGGTTGTTTTAACCCAAAATCGGGTAAAATATGGACAAACCCAAATGTTGGGTTAAAAATGTAATTTAAAAATTTAACCCAATTTCAACTTTCACTTTCAACTGTATATTTTTTAATTACATGTTTAACCCAACATTTGGGTTTGTCCATATTTTACCCAAATTTCCGTAAAAATAACCCAGCATTTTTTAGAGTATACAATGTAAAAAAAATTAATTAACAAAACCTGGGCTACTCTAAAACGGCTACTTAAAATTTTAGGTTGATATCTCAAAAAATTAGCTTTGAGTGAGATTTTGTTTGGGCGCAGTACCAAACTTTTTCACTAGGGCACAACCAGACTCCATTACTGCCCATATAAGAGCGCCACCATTTCCATATGTGTTTTGAGTGATATGAAGCATCATTTACACAATTTTCATACAATTTATGAAGTAGTGATGCTATTCAGAAGTAGTATGGGAAGATTGGCAGATTTTGATATAAATTCAACCTTTAAGAAACACATACAAAGAACACGCATGTACGTTATAGCTTCCTGCCACACCACAAATGGTAAATTTATTATATTTTCTTTGTATTTAAAACATTTTCAGACCTTTTTATTCTAAAATAATTGAATGGATGTAATCTTTTGAACTCTTGGCATGAAAACAAACTGAGGTTTCTACCTTTTTTTCATGATTTTTCATGTTCATTGCTATTTCAAAATAAAGGTCTGAACACGCTTTATGAGTATGAAAATATTTTTGTTGCAAATTGATCAATTACGGCTCCTGTGTAATTTATTTTGAAAATCATTCACCAAATATGGAAACTAGAGATTGTAAGCTTAAAAAAAATGATATATAGTTTGTCAATATTACTTAAGGTCTTTTCTATTATATTATTGTTATATATATTATATATATATATATATATATATATATATAAAATCGCAATATTA